TCCCGGGCCCGGGTGCCCGCGGGGCTGCTGCGGGGTCGCCGCCCGGCGGGCGCTCTGCCCCCGCGTTTCTCCTGAGCCCACTGCCTGCCGGTGCTGCGGAGGCAAAGCGCAGGGGGGTCGGGCCCGAGGCCCTGCCCTCTCGTTCCGTTCCGGAGAGCTGTCAGTTCAGCCCCAAGGCTGCGTTACCTCAGCGAGGGCGCGGGAAGGGGCAGCGTTTGAGCAGAGATACTCTGCAGTCGGTAAGAGACAAAATATGGGGTTTCTTTTTTTCGGTGCAGAACTAAATTAAATGTTTTGGTGGAAAGTTTAAACTTCTGCGTGTGTAAGAGGGCACCCCACCACAACTTGCAGCAGCAGCTCTGGGATACTTGGTGGGAATTGCTGGAAAAGTTCATACTTCTGAAAGGCAAGCAAGGTAAAATCTTTAATTAAACACTTTGAATGTATACAGCCTCTGCAGTGAATAAGCTCTAGAATTAACTGACCTTGTGAGCAGTAGCAAGTCAGGAAAATCATCCTACAGTTGGGCTTTGGGCATGGCCCTTTCAGCTGGTGCCCCAGAATTGACTTGCTTGTCAGTTCCTGGATTATAAACTCATTACAGCATATGCCTTCCATTTTTAGTATTTTTAGGCTCTTCAGTAGATTGTGAAGTCTTCTGAAAAAATAACTAAAACTGGTAACGTTTCCTCTGTTCTTCGGGAACTTTTTTTAGTACCCTGACAGTTTTATATGTTGTTGAAGGAAGAACTTTTTTCAGTTTGTAGCATTCTTGTCTAGTGAGGGTGAAAAACCAGCAGTACTCTGTAATAAATAATTTCTATACTTCAGTGTGACAATTATATTCTCTTTTCAGCTTTATATTAAGGACATGGTGACTGACTTTGATGAAAAACATGACGAATACTTAATATCGCTCCAGCAGAGAAACCGGTAAGATACAGAATTGTTACCACCATTGAGTGTGAAGTATCCGTTGTGTAGTATCTCATATAGTATCTAATATCAGCAGTTGTGAATATTAGTTTAAAAACTTGGGTTTTGAACTTGTGTTGCAAAGTCTGACTTGCTGTCTCTTAAAGCAGTCAGGTGATTCTCTTGTCTTCCCTTCGTTTGCTAAGTACATCAAAGTTCTTATTTCTAGAGGAGATCACAATATTTCTTCAGCATACTTCAAAATATAGATAAATTTATTAATAAAATAGCTATTGTTTCCATGGCTCACAGGGAAGATTTTTGTTTAAAGAGCAAGAGGTTCTAGATTCAGAAGTAATTGGCAGCTCACACTGTGTTAGGATGTTGTTACGAGGCAAGGTTTTTATGTTGTCAGAAATACAGAAAATTGCATGCAGAAGTTGCTTAAGTTAAATGCACAAAGTCAGGTTCTGCTAAGGTGGGAGATAAGGACATCAAGGTTGCTTTTGCAAATCTTTCAGGCAAGTTTAAAACATTTCTTTTAATATTTGTTCATAGGAACCTTCCTGTCATTGTACCCTAGACAGATGAATTTCATAGGTTAATTCAGAAGGGTCTACAGAACTTTCTTGCTTAATTTCCTCCTTTACCACAAGCCATAAGATCTTTACTCAAATCCTATAACAAACTGAATTGTTTGGTAAAAAGACAAAAAAAAAACCTACAAAAGCCACAGTTGTGTTAGAAGAACAGCCAATTTTTGTGCACATGGGTTTATTCCATATATAGTCTCCTAAAGCAGTTTTAGGAAAGGATAAAAGCAAATTAATGATTGAAACAACTTGCATCCTTATTATCACAGCTCTAATTCTGAATTTTGGTGGAGACAAATGCCGCTGCCTTACAACAGGACAAGCATGTGGCAAGTGTACCTTTCAGAAGAGGCATGCTGGGTACATTCCTGTAGTGGACATAACTGGCGGTTTTGGGCCAGAGCAGCCTGTGTGGGAGCAGGTCAGGTACTGCCCTGGGCTGGTCACAGCCGGTTCCTGCTGGATCCCAAACTAACAGAAACAGCCCATCATGTGCCAAAACATCACCAGTCAGAGCAGCCTGGGGTGGATTTCAGAGAGTGGTGGCTGCAGGGGGTGGGGTGCTCCTGTGGAGGCATGCTACCTAGAGGAGTGCTGGGGAAACGGCTGGGGACACACTCTTGGAAAAATGTGACTGGTTTCAGAACAGATACACCCCTGGGGGACTTTGGCCTGTGGATTGACCCACCCTGGAGTCAAGGGAAACCAGGAAGCACTGTGCAGGGGCAGGCGGAAATTGTCACCCACATGGCCCCAACCTTCTGGCCTGCATGTCACCTCACCGAAGGAGTTAGGATGGACTGAGTATAACCCCTGGCAAAAGGAGGGAAGATGAGACTTGGAAGAGGGAGGAGGGTAGGTGTTTCACTGAAATTGCGCCTGGGGAAGGGTGTTTTTTTAATATTATTTTTACCCAGACTTTAATTTTCTGGTGTCTCTAACTGCACTCTTGACTGGGGGCTTTCCCCCTCAAGTTTCAAAACACAAGTAATCTTTTTCTTATTCTTTTCTTGAAAAGAGTTCAACCATTTTTAAGCTTTTTGAAATTCTAAGTAAAACTCCTAAAAATTCGTAAGAAGAAAGGTTAAATATACTAAATACCAAATGTAAAAAAATAATGTGAAATGAGAAACAACATGGAAAAAATCTCAGAAGGGAGAGGCATGGTCAAACTTCGTATGTCGCAGTATGCGGATACTCATACAAGCATTGCAGAATAGGAACAGGTCCTGGAAGCTATATTCTGAAATAGTTATTTGAACTGTGAACATATTTTTCAGCTTTGTGACATTGTGTTTTTGTATTTATTGCTAATCTGACCATCTGTATATGCGCTGCGTAAGGATGATTTATTATCCCTTCTACTTCAGGCTACTGGGACGTTTAAAAAGAAAGGATCCTATACAAATCAAACTGGAGCAGTTAGAACAAGGATTTTCTCTGTATCTGAATGGAGCTAATTCAGAGCTGAGAAATTACCGCAGAAAAATCAACTCACATGGCTACTTTAAGAACAAGACAAAGACCACCAGGACAAATGGTGAGTTACATAAGGGTTTTACAGAGATTGCAATCTAGAACTATTTTAAACATTTACTCATCAGAGCTGTATTTCAGTTGGTGAGGTTACTGGTCAGACTGTGATAAAGAGACAGCAGCATTTGAGCTTGGTGGAATGAAATTCCATGGGACTCTTTCATCACAGTACTTAAGCTGATTGTATGTAAGGAACAGTCTCTGCAACACCCTATCAAAGTCTTAGTTGGTCCCTAACTAATTCCAAAGTTTAATTTCATTGCCTCTCCATTTGTTTAACAGTTATAACTAAAACTGGAAGATTATAAACATATATAAATTGCCAGTGTAAAATAATTGTATGCCTTTCTCTGGTACCTAACACCGTTTGTAGACTTTAAGATCTGATGGACTGATGGACTTTAAGATCTGGTCTGGTAGTCTAAGTCTGGTGTCCTGTACACAAATGACATTTGATGACATAGACTATAATTGAATTATATCCAGTAATAGCTGCATTAAGCTCATAAATTATGTTTCAGCTGTAATAGTTGTCTTAAAAAGACAGCTAATCTTTATTTAAATATTTGAAGTAAAGAAAATCTACCATTTTCTGCCAGTGATTAGCTGGCTTTATTTAAAAATGTGTATTTTATTTCTAATTTAAGTCTGTCTGTCACAGAGGGCAATGTAGTGACAAGAACAATTTTGCATGTATGAAGGTATAAAGTGTGAGCTTACTGGCCTTCTAATCTATTTAGCATAATGAAAATAAAGTTGATTTCGTTAAATCTTTGTGTAAAGCAGTTTACCAACCTTAGTCTGTTATCCTCACACTTGCTACAACCTGTCTATTTCAGAGTGTATTCTTTTAATCTGTTGCTGTGTAGATAGTGTCTGCTTAAGCTTTATTTTCACTTAAAAATGAAGACAGAGTTTGAAAAGTTACTTAATATGGTAACTTATTATGATTGAAAGTTTATTAGTCTCAACAATACCGGAAACTAAATTCTCTTTCAGTAACCGTTCTAACCATGACTCTAAGCTCAATCTCTTTTTTTTCTTTGTTTTCCTGCTACACTGGCTACATACTATTTGTTTTCAAGTTTAATTGCATTTAGGCTTAGCTGTCTGCTGTATAATTTCTTGCAGGTTATATGGGATGGTGATGGGGAATCAGCTAGTCACCTAGTTTACTGTTCCATATGAAAGTAAAAAGTTATGCGTAATGATGCAAAAAAGTTCATGTTCTGGAAATTGGAAAAAGAAGGAAATTGTGTGCTCTGTCACAGTGGGATGATACACCTTTAGGTAGATAAGAGGGTGTAAAACGATGTCTTTGACTTTTTGGTCCAAAAATTGTGCAGGGATATTGTGGCAGCAGCCGTAATAGGACTCTGTCAAGAGAAATTTCCTCTTCAAGTTTTGCTGTGCAGTTGTTATCTCTAAGCTTAACCAAAGTTGTTTATTTTTATGGTCGCTTAATGCCATTTGATTCAGGTAAGGCCAAATACTTCAGCTAGTCTTAGGGACCTTTAAAGACTTCAGTGGCTGTCTCTGTTCCTTTCCTCAGCTCCACCAACTTAGAGCCACTAGCATTATCTCTGCAGAAGAAAACTCAGTGTGTTTCGCTGTTTCTTAGCTATCCAATGTTGTTATTTTAAACACGTGTAGCTGCAGTGAAAAATATCAACTAAATCATCATCCTGTCATTTTTCTTCTTTCATTTGATTTTACCACTAGAGTTCAGTGTGGGAGTCATTGGTGATCTGTATAAGCTTCTTGCCTGGGGGTAGTACCTTAGCAATTTTGTGGTCTGTTTCATTTCTAGGCATTTCTTCTCAATGATTGAATATGATTTTACTTACAGAAAAGATTTCTAGCTGAGATACATCACTGAATTTTCTTCTCTATCCATCTCCCATGAGAGTTATTGCATCATTTATTACTTCTAAAGCATCCATCTATGGGATTAGTCTTCACTGAAAAATTAGGAATGTGTGATACTTAATAATACAGAATGGGCACAAATCCCTCTTTGTGGTTCCTGAAAATGTCATCATAAATCTATTTGTCAGGACTATTTTCTTTGTCTGTGTTCCCTAGGAGTAATTCATGATAATAGGGATTGATAAACTTTTTACGCTTAGGCTTGGTAAATGAATTAAAGTAAATGATGGGCTTATAAGGTAGTTGAATCTGGTCTCTAGGTATACTGTCATTTCTTTGGGTGTATAACCCAGACATAGTTTCACAACCAGGTATGTACTTCCAGTGAATATCGGTGTGGTCACAAAGACATCGCTTAAGGGTAGCGTGGGGTCTCCTTTGATTATGACTAATATTTTGATGATGTACTATTCAGTCCTTGGCTATTAGAATAGGCACTGTCAGCTCAAGTCTCCAAAGGAATGACACCAGTGGACCTCTTTTGTGTGCCAAAACAGGTAGTGGTTGGTATTCACATCCCATCCATCCCATGGGAAAGACATTTTTGTTCTAAAGTAATGTTTGTAGCACAGACGAGTAACTCAACTGCATCAGCTTGGGGAGGAGTGGCTGGAGAGCTGCCTGGCAGAAAAGGACCTGGGGGTGTTGGTCGACAGCCGCCTGAACATGAGCCAGCAGTGTGCTCAGGTGG